GTCTCACGTTATATCTTGTCCATCATCAACACCAGTCCATATATTCCTAGATGCACGGTTGTATAGATGACCTAAGATACGCATCTCATTAGGAAACCGAACAATCGTTCAAAGATATTCGCAGCATGAAATGAAGTTAATCAATTCCCCGAAGATCAGAGAGAGAGCGTTCTAATTAACCGAGCCTAATTTTTCCCCATCTCGATAAAGTATCGTTCTCGTTGAAACATCTCCACGGTTGATCCAGTGAAAAGACGCTTAGCTTCTTTCCAATTAAACCGATACACCGTTTTCACGGTGAACCAGGAATCCCAGTTCACGTGTACCGGCTAATTAGAATCCTCTCCGACTGATCTTTAATTCATGACTTATATTCAAGCGTGCCACCGTGCTCGAAGGATATCGGCTTCCTAGGGGCTCGTATCCTTCTTGCAAGGTCCACGTATCGCTGAATTATATCTGTGTCACATTTAACGGCGGTTTTTCCACGCGATTTTTTTTCGTCTCCCTTTTGTCCGGGCGTTGCGTGGCGAAAACGATAAGGAGACGTCAACGGGACATTTGAATTTCTAATCCGTCACAATTAAACGAAAGCTGGGATCGTTCGTTCGAGGAAACGCAACGAGGAATCCCATTCATCGGTCGATTTACGATCGGTCTTTCTTTCGTGTTCGGACAAATCCCTCGGCGGGTTACCGATGCTCTTTCAGTTCTATTTCCTTCGTGAGTTCCTGCAACCTTCGTCCAGTGTTACGCGAATTGAAAAGCATTGAAAGACTCAGAGAAATCTCGGAGGATTTTGGCCGTCTTATTTACGGCTGCGTTGTTGCTGTCACGCTCAACACTCTATCTTTAAAAGTTCAAACGGGGTTGCACAAATTGAATACAGATCAATTTTAGTTAATTAACGGTGGAGACTGTAAGACCGCTATATGATCAATGTTATATAATTCTTAATTTTCTCAATCGTATTTATAATATCATGTTTCATTTTACTGTTGCAAAGTTACAAAACATTTCAATGTTACCCTGCTAGCATTTAAAGCGTTCAAAAACTCATACAGCAAGGGGTTAATTCTTTGTACATTTATGTCGAGTGTAGCTCTACAGCACATCTCTCTTGGATCTCATAAATAGTTCAGATAAATAGATTGCTTGTATATACATTTTCGTTCACTTACTACTTATAATAAATGAAAAGAATTTTTGTCTAAACTCCGCACTATTGAAATTTTATAAAGAACCCCTTTCTTCATCTACCTTGTAAATAAAGTTGCTAAATAAAAGAAATTAAACAAAGAGTTAATATTAAGTATATAACGTTTCTCCGTTTGTATCTCACAAATGACCCACTCGAAATGAATGGTCCAAAGTCACTGGGACAGCCAATTTTCTCGTTACGTATAATTTTCTTCTTAAGGCTCGACCCCGTGCGGTAAACGTCTGAAAGTAGTACGAAACTAGAAACCCAGCGGCATCATAGGCTCCCATAAAGGCGTAGGAGAAAGGAGAGTTTAAATAAGATAAGACCTCATGACCGTGAAACCCCGTATGGTTGCCGCGGAACGGTCACGACGAAGGAACGGATCTTCTCGAGAACGAGAGAAACGGAGACAGAATCGTGGCGGCTCCACTATCTTTAATAGAATCGTGTAATTCGTCGATTACCGCAAAAACCGAGCCAATACTCGCGGCGAACGAGGTAAAAACTCGCGTAACAGCCAAGCGGTTCTTCGTTTTCCATTCGCGCCAACGGATTTGCGACCACAGTTTCCCGCTACGTTAGATATTTATGTAGATCACGATTAATCTTATGGCGGGTAATCGGAGAGTTAACGAAGGGATGGAGCCCGCGGAATCGATTGTATCGTTAGGTTTTCTGCCTCGAGTTAATGTACACTATCTCGACTCTCTGGGGTGGAGATTATTCGCGGCGGGAAAAATCGAGGTAAATAGGGGTTGCGATAAAAAAACGGAATATTGCGGCTCCTCGAAGGAGTAATTATTTCGATGGCAACTGTTGCTGTCGAACACTTTTATCTACGACACTTTTATACTGGGATGCTGTAACCATACGATAACGCTTTCTATGCAAATTTTCAAACCAAGCTGGTAAATGTAGACTCTATACAAAATTTTTAATTGAGCTAATGCTTGACGTAACTACGAGTGTATTAATAGCACAGTTTTATGAGATAAAACAGCCATTGATCGATATTATTGTCACTGAGTCTTCCGATCTCTGCTTATATTTATCACAGCCCAATGTCGTCGACTCATCCCCAAAACGACTCTATAAAAAAATCTTAATTGTGCTAATGCTTGACGTAACTACGAATGTATTAATAGCACAGTTTTATGAGATAAAACAGCCATTGATCGATATTATTGTCACTGAGTCTTCCGATCTCTGCTTATATTTATCACAGCCCAATGTCGTCGACTCATCCCCAAAACGACTCTATAAAAAAATCTTAATTGTGCTAATGCTTGACGTACCTACGAATGTATTAATAGTGCAGTTTTATGAGATAAAACAGCCATTGATCGATATTATTGTCACTGCGTCCTCCGATCTGTGCTTACATTTATCGCAGGCCAATGTCGACGTCCCTTAATTTCCTACGCGGTATCGTTACGCTCGTCGATGGCGAAGCGAGCGATCGGAGGCAAAAGGAAGTAAAAAGAAAAAGAGGTGAGAGACGTCGAGGATGGAAAACTCAGCGACACGGAAGAGATTCAAATGAACTGGAAATCGAGAAGGCGCAGCCTCGAATATCCCCGACCGACGTCTCTCGTCGATGACGATCGGTAGAAGAAACGTCGTCCTCGTTGTTCGACGACATCCGCGGCTCCAGAGCAAATCGACCAACCAGCGATAATTAATCGCGACTCTACGATTCCTCGTAGCTCCGCGAAAAGGTGCTCGACACCGGCTAATCGATCGTGACTCTCCCCGCTTTTTGATTGATCGCTTAATCGGCGTGAAAGGAATCCAACCACCGAGAAAAGTTCGAGCTGAAAGTCCTCGACTAGTCGGACGGGTGCACGCGACTGCGTTGTTCAACCCCCGATGCAGCATGCGATTCTTTGTTCCGAGACCTCGATTCCACGAGTGGGTCTCTTTCGTGTTCGAGCAAACTTGCTGCGTCGAGAACTTCTGATTATCCCGGTTCTTCGACCTGTCGTATCGCGAATGATCGTTCAAAACCTGCGTTTATTCCCACTGTAACTTACAATGGACTCAGTTCAAACCAATTGTTTAATAAAAGAACACTGTGATAATACAGTAAATTACTCTCGCGTGTGCCTTTACTGCCTCGTAATTTCCCGTTTCCGGGGATTTGAGATAAGAGGAAAATTTTCGACATTTGCAAAATTGTCGAAATAAATAATTGCGAGGAAGAATTAATCGGGCACGTATCTATTCCATGGAGACGATTGAAAATGCTAAGCTCGTCGATTAATTCGGTCTGAACATGGCGTGAAGGGAAACCGAGGGTGGGTAAATTTCGACGCCAGTACGATCGACCCGCTAAACGCGAGAACAAGGAGCCATCGGCGGCATAGCAATGCGATTTCCAGTTTCGAATTATTAGATTCGAACGCCGTGAGACGATCATTTCTGTACGGCAAATTGTGCGTACGGCAGAATTCAATTGCACAACTGCCAGATGTAGTCGAATAGCTTCGAACCTCTGAACAGTAATCTAACACTTACTTCTCTTAATTCACCTTCCTTTTAATTTTATAATGTAATACTGACAAGTATTTATCACTTGTTTTTGCCTTTGTTGCTGCGAAAATAATTACAGAATTAATTTCTCTAATATCTTGTTGAAATACTTTCACGATAGAATTTCAAAGAAAAATGAAATAATAAAATAAAACTATTATTAGCATTATTTACTATTATTGATTTGCTGTTATGGAGTAGCAAAATAAAATTATTATACTGACAAGACAATACGGTTATAACTTCTCAAATTAATATAACCTATAAAATCTTTCAAATGATATTTCAAAAGAACACACTGTTTAAATAAATAGACTTTACTCAAGATCAGATAAGACTTTACTCAAGAAATAAATAAATAAATAAATTCAAGAAATAAAGAAATAAATATGATTTGTAAAAAAGATTAAAAGCTAGCAATAAATATCTATTTAGTTTTGTATGTTGCTCAAATTATTAGTTGAGCGAATTACCGGCTTTTACGCTCCCGTCAGTGTGTTAACACGATTTCCTTGGAGCGGAGGAAGTATAACACAAGCGAGAAACACGCGAATCTAAAGGGAAGCCAGGTTTAAAAGACCATCCCCAAGATACACACTCGAGCCAAGAAATGTTTGCAGACGAGCAAAGATACTCGTGCACGCGTGATCCGATAAGAAGGAACGCGGTAGGGACAGCAGAAAGAGGAACGAATTCACGGATGATGTGCACCGGTTCCAACCTCGATCAATGACCGTCTCCAGGCTCAAAGTCAACAATGATATGACGTTGATTGTGATATGCAAATGGAAGAACGGTCGAAAGGGATACTTGACCGCCTAATGAATATTTACTCGGATTCAGGGACACCTGAGTGTGTACATCGATACTACCCCGCGTCTTCGATTACACGTATAATTTTCGAATTAAAGCACCGATCGTTAAAACAGTTGTCTCATGCAAATCCAAGTCATCGCCTTCTTATCTGTGCTTCTTGCCGATCACAGACTTTTATTTCTATTCTATCCGCTTTTAGATCATTTCATTATCTAGCATGAGCTTATTAGAAATAATTGTGGCATCGTGGGTCGTTTCGAATGCCATATTAAAAGGCAGAGTTGTAATTCGAGTTTTATAAATAGAATACCTGTCGATCTGTATAATCAACCTACTGTGCTAAGTTTGCTACGTATAATTTTTACGAGAGAAAGCTCTGCAATAACTCGAAGGGCTAATTAAATCTTTCACGATACGCAATCATCATAATGCGATTCTAAACACTTACGTCAGTTTATCGACGATTAATCCAAACGCTATATCCGCTGTTGTTTTCGGTCCCACGCTGTAGTCTAACACAACAACACGGTCACAATGTTCGGCACACGTCTGGCATTGAAATCACCGACATCGCATAACGATGTTACGATCACAGTTCTCATGAAAACTCAACACCTGCATCACTTCAACCACTCCCGTTCATAAACGGCGAACGTTTAACAATCACAATTACGTCGAGGCGGGATAGCCGGATTAATCGGCGTTTTCCATTGTTTGCTGAAACAAAGCGCGGAACATCGGAACCGTTCTTCCTCGACCGACGTTCCCTCGGCTTTTTTCCCCGGTTCCGGACCGTTAATCCATCACGGTTCACAGAGGCCGCGAACAGCTAGGGCGCGAAGAAAAGCACGTGTGACAAATCGAAGATGGTGCCAACAACGAAAGAAGTTGCATCAATTTAACACGTGTTCCCACTAGCTCTGATTGCGCGTTGACAAATGCGAGCTGACCACGAAGAACCTCCCATGACGCGATCGAGATTGGGACATCTGTGACACTTCAATCGGAGCGGGAAAAAGTTGAGAACGAAATATCCGAAAGAACAGTTCTCTTCCCGAATTGTGCTTCGGCAAAGATGCGTGAGAATCGAAGGTCCGAAGAGGTATCGTTGACGAACCGTTCAGGAGGTTCACGAAGAGGTGTCCACGTGGTACTCGGCGTTCCTGGTCAAGGTGACCACGTGCAAACAAGACACCACTATCCTTCTCGAATTACAGCTTCGTTCCAGTTCTTGGTCCCCATTCCTCGTGGACATTTTAATTCCTCGTAAGATCGTATCTATCCTCCAATCAGGTCCCGAGATCTCGTACATTTCAATTTTGACGATTCGAAGAATCCTCCGGTGTCACCTGCACTGGCTCCTCTGCTTCCAAACGGACACGTCGATCGATCCTTATCGAACAGTTCCTCGGCATCGCGACGTTTCTCTCGCTTTCGATGATTGACACACGACCCGGTGAATTTGGACCCGGGAACACACAGAAACGGACCGCTCGAGTTCCGGAAGAGACGCGTGCACGTACCCGCCGCGTTACTTCATCGAGCTGGAAGAATAGCAAAGGAGGTGGAGTGGACGTGGTGTTCGCTGGCGAGTGGTGGTGAGACGATGCTGGTGGCAGTGGTGGCGGTGATGATGGTGGTGGTGGCGAAGAAGAAGAAGAAGAAGAAGAGGAAGGAACACAAGAGGAGGTGTGCTTGGCGCTACGTCAGTTTATCGACGATTAATCCAAACGCTATATCCGCTGTTGTTTTCGGTCCCACGCTGTAGTCTAACACAACAACACGGTCACAATGTTCGGCACACGTCTGGCATTGAAATCACCGACATCGCATAACGATGTTACGATCACAGTTCTCATGAAAACTCAACACCTGCATCACTTCAACCACTCCCGTTCATAAACGGCGAACGTTTAACAATCACAATTACGTCGAGGCGGGATAGCCGGATTAATCGGCGTTTTCCATTGTTTGCTGAAACAAAGCGCGGAACATCGGAACCGTTCTTCCTCGACCGACGTTCCCTCGGCTTTTTTCCCCGGTTCCGGACCGTTAATCCATCACGGTTCACAGAGGCCGCGAACAGCTAGGGCGCGAAGAAAAGCACGTGTGACAAATCGAAGATGGTGCCAACAACGAAAGAAGTTGCATCAATTTAACACGTGTTCCCACTAGCTCTGATTGCGCGTTGACAAATGCGAGCTGACCACGAAGAACCTCCCATGACGCGATCGAGATTGGGACATCTGTGACACTTCAATCGGAGCGGGAAAAAGTTGAGAACGAAATATCCGAAAGAACAGTTCTCTTCCCGAATTGTGCTTCGGCAAAGATGCGTGAGAATCGAAGGTCCGAAGAGGTATCGTTGACGAACCGTTCAGGAGGTTCACGAAGAGGTGTCCACGTGGTACTCGGCGTTCCTGGTCAAGGTGACCACGTGCAAACAAGACACCACTATCCTTCTCGAATTACAGCTTCGTTCCAGTTCTTGGTCCCCATTCCTCGTGGACATTTTAATTCCTCGTAAGATCGTATCTATCCTCCAATCAGGTCCCGAGATCTCGTACATTTCAATTTTGACGATTCGAAGAATCCTCCGGTGTCACCTGCACTGGCTCCTCTGCTTCCAAACGGACACGTCGATCGATCCTTATCGAACAGTTCCTCGGCATCGCGACGTTTCTCTCGCTTTCGATGATTGACACACGACCCGGTGAATTTGGACCCGGGAACACACAGAAACGGACCGCTCGAGTTCCGGAAGAGACGCGTGCACGTACCCGCCGCGTTACTTCATCGAGCTGGAAGAATAGCAAAGGAGGTGGAGTGGACGTGGTGTTCGCTGGCGAGTGGTGGTGAGACGATGCTGGTGGCAGTGGTGGCGGTGATGATGGTGGTGGTGGCGAAGAAGAAGAAGAAGAAGAAGAGGAAGGAACACAAGAGGAGGTGTGCTTGGCGCGATCTAGCCGAGAGTGGTACCAGCGGCCACTGAAGAAGAAGTGGCGTGTGCGGATCGCACGGTCGGGTAAAACGAAGACGGCAACCTCGAAATGGTAAAGGACGGGACAGAGAAGGCCGAAAGAGAAGTAGAAGGAGGGGAAAGGATGAGAAAGAGAGGGAGAGGGAGGATGGAATAAGATCCTCGTCCTTCTTCAAAGAGAAGGGAGGACGTGGTCCGTCAAATGGCCCTTGCGTACCAAAACCGTTGACCACCTAAAATCCTGCTTCCTCCTCTACTCTTCTTATTGTCGCTATCTCTGATACGGGATGCTCCAATAACCTTCCATTTTAACACTTATTATTAAACAAACTATTTCACAAAAGTACATACTAAATCTGATTTGAATTTGTCTTGTACAATAAATATCAGTTTACTGATATGAACATTTTCTTGTATAATAAATATTTTTACATGTTCTCTACACCTGACTGACCAATTATTATTGCTTCAGAAACTTGTCAGAAGCGTCTCATTTCTCATATAAAATATTTATTCAAGTACTATCGAGTACCTCGAGTACCTCTACCGCGTGAATAGTACAAATTTCCATCGCGCGCAGAGTTCGTGTTATTAAAGGGTAAGCACAGAAAAAGACAGGGAAGAAAATATCCTTAAGAGTACACGCACGTACCGTTCAGCAAACAAATGCATGGAATATGTACGCCGACGTGTAAAGGGGTTAAAGGAATGTACAAAAAGGTACGAAGAGGACAGTCTGCCAAATATTTCAGGTGAAATCCCGCAGTATTCGCGACAAAACGATACCGGGAACGATCGCGAGCCGCATTCTCGTATAATTGCCAAGTACGAAAGCATCCAGGACATCCGCGAGACGAAAGGTAGCGGGTTGAGTACAGAAATCACGTATAACGAACGAGATATTCCAAGATTTCCCACTTTTCGACGTCTCGGGAAGAAGCCAGTTGGTAAGCGGCGTGCTCTCGCTTAATTTGCAGACGTGCTTCGTCGTCGACGACCAACAACCGCGACGACTCCTCTGCTTTTCTGTCACGCTGAAACTGCACACCAAATACGTTCATTGACTCTCGGGAAAATTCTTTGGGAAAATGTTCTGTGTACATCTTATTAAATAGCTCCGTAAGCGGGCAATTTTTTCGTACTTCGACGGTATTTACGTGAGACCAACGTCGGAGCAATTTTGTCCACTTAACTTGTGAGCAATATCTTTCTATTTTATGAGTTACAAGATAAACAAACTTTAGGAAAGATCTGGATGTTTGGTCTATTTTATTAATATTTGAGATGTTCTGGACGATTACGTTCTTACCAACTTTTTGTGAGTAATTGGACTTTGAAACTTAGGGATGTTGAAAACTCTTTAAGACTTCTAAAAAATTTTACATGAAGTCACTGAGTTATTTATGAGTTACTTATGTTTCTCTGATTTTACACGAATACTTATGGAAAACTATCATTAAAGACATTAAAAGAACAATTTTTTCCGAATTCCTCCGATGATATCTTTACATAAACGCAGCTGCACCTGAACTTTAAAATAAATTTAATAAAAACCCCTGTATTAATTCTAATATCTATCGAATAATTATATGAGGTTAGTAGGAGATGTTAAAATAAAGATCGTGTACCGTCTCGATAAAAAAATTTCAGGTTAGCCAAGTTTCAACATGAAATTTCAATACGCAGGTTTCGAGCAGCGGCTGGCAAACCGATCCTTGGAGCTATCCTGCCCATAAATTCTCGATAATCTAATAAACGTAGAACGTCCATCCAATTAACGACAAGCTGACCAAACTCTCCCATTTATAACGATACTTTTTTTCCCTCCATCGCTCGAACAAAGTCTCGGATCCATCCATTCTCCCTCTTCCTTCCTGTCCGTCTTTCGCGAGACTATATCTACATCGGCCGCGAGTGGTCGAGCAGAATTTCCAGCAGGTTCTTCGCAGTCAACGCGATCGTTCTTTTCACGTCGTGTAAAAGCAACGAACGCCACGTAACAGCGCCGTGGTACAGCGTAGAGAGACAGAACCCACGACAGGATATCACGTGTGTATCCCTCCTGTTCCGTGTCCTTTAAGTCCGTCGGATCCACGGATGTCCGCGACGCGCTTTTCACGATGCATTGCTACCGTTTCGAGTCGGGTCTTCGGCATCTTCCAGTTACGACTGCCCCTCAGCGAAGCCCTTGTATTATGGTAAACGAGACATCGGAGGTAGGCTGCCAGTCACTGATACTCCTTCCACTTTCTCCTCGTTCCCTCTTTCTCTTTGCGTTCCTCTTATCTCTCTTGTAACCCCTTCTTCCACTTAAAGGATGTCCTCGGCCCTTGCTTGAATAGCTGATCGCTACTTTCGAGAACTCGAATTAAATTTTAGGGATCTTTCGACTCGAAATCTCTTGGAACAGAAATTATTAGCCATTCATGATCGAAGAGATTGTAATAGTCATCTGTCATCTGTGTATCTTGAGACGTTCAAATTGGAGGGTTGATCAAGATACGAGTGGTATGTTCGATCATCGAAAAACAAAGTATTTTTAATGTATCGTTTGCATATTATACTTTTTATACTTTTCTTTAAAAGATTTTTGTGGTAAATTAAAATGTAAGTTGCCGGAAGTGTCGAGTGCATTGCACTTCAACACCGTTAATTCCATTAGCAATCAAAATAGTTTCTCTAAAAGTTCTATGAAACCTGGTTATTTTAAAACATTCAAATTGAATGAAAACGTCAAAATTTAATAGTAACATACGATTCGCATTTTACGAGAATACCATTCTAAGAGTCAAAGAATTTTTAAAGCACAAATATATTAAGATGGAAATAGATTTAAGAATTGGAAAATCTACCTTCAGGTTCTGAAGCTGAAAGACATGAATGGAATTTAAAATGCACCAGTAACATCCTCCTAGTAATTAAAGTAGTTCATGTAATAATAACGATGTTCGAAAGGTTTAAAATTTAGTCGATTTCCAGAACGATACTCTGAATCGATTTCGTATGCTCAAAGTAAATCGAGTCCATCGCTACCCTCGAGCCTCATACCTCAGTCTCTCCCCCTCTCTGTTTAATCTCGTTCCTTCGATCTCCTCTTCATTTATCCTTTTTGTCTTCCTTCCGTGTATTCTGTCTTTCCTTAACTCCTCTTCTTCTTCTTCTTCATCGACTTCGATAGCCATTGGAGGGGGCGGATCGTTGCATTCGCTCGCTTCCGTCGCGCGACTATGCATCACGAGCCCTCTCTAATGAAAGCCTTTTCTCCGACTGCCAATTAACCCCCACGCGACACCAGGCCAACCTAAGAAAACACCACGATGACGCGTGCACTTATTACACGTCCGATCGACACGACCAACCGATCGCTACTGTCGCGCGAATGACTTTAATTGTACATCGTGAATCTTCCTTCGTTGTACCCTGTCCCTTCGACTCACCGGTGCTTTTTTTTAAGGATTATTATGGAGACGCAACGAACACTGTTGCAACTTGAAAGTGATGTCATTAAAACGTGACTTCGTTCAACAGAGATCGCCATTTGAACAAGCGTGATAAACTTTTAAGTTTAGGAATTTAATTTCTAAATTTCCAAATCAAGAATTATTAACTTGCACCCCCGTTTAAAATGCTGAGTTGAATTTTCCAAATTGTGGTAAATATAAATTTGACAAATTGTATTAAATTT